TCTTTACACAAGGTACCTCGGGAAAACTAATAAATTTTTTAATATCGATTTTCCCAATGACTTTTCCGCGTATTATTGCTATTTTGTTCACACATGTGTATAATCAAAATGATTATAAAAAAAATATTACAAAGAATCATTTGTATGACAAGTACCCCACAGGGGCCCCTCAATAGATACGACACCAAACGTCCAAGCCTCCTTAATATAGCATACAAAGTCAATAACATGTATAGGTATAGTCATGATCATAGCCGGATATATTATTACTTCCACTGCATGCATGCAGAGCCGAACAAAAGCTTCGTCTGCTCCATGTGGTGGTTGATGTTGACGTAGATATAACCTTTTACTAGTAGCCCCCCGTTTCGGCTTCGCCCGAGATTTACTAAATAAAACACCGTAGTGTGTTGACATGTAATGTGAAACGTCTTCAGTTAAAAATTTTACACAAATTCCTGACACATCTCAGAACAAAAATCTTCTTATTAAAAACGCATTTTTTTTGAATCAATATAGTTTATTTTGTCAAATAATAAGGTGTTCAAAAGAATAATTATGCTGAAAAGTACCATGCGTTCTTTATGCCATAAAATAATCGGTGGCCATAAGAAGCCGTTGATTTACAGTTTCTCCCGTGTAATTCACCAAAAAAACTATTTTTTAAAGCTGTGTAATTCAAGTTTTTATTTCACCCTATAAGATCAACAAAATCTAAACAATTTATCTATTTGAAATTTGGGGTAAAAAGATTATGCTTTGAGATATATAGTTTCTGTTCATATATTTTTTTTCCTTAAGATTATAGATAGTGATGTATTTTAAAAAATAATTTTATTTGAAAACAGTTCTGCAGTGACCGTGAATTGAACCTCCGTCCTTTGGATTCCGAATCAGACTTCGTAACCAGTAGACCATATACAATTCGTCTGTGATAGTATCAATAAAGATTATGTGGGAACGTGTACTGTTTATGATACACTTAATACAGTTAAAAATCAAAGCGGCTTCTGTAGGACAACGGATAATTAGTCGATTCAACATTAATTGTCGGCAAGTATCAATTTTTAGCTGTTGTGAATCAAAAACGTATATTTCTCATAACTTTTACACTAGTATAACCTCAAATTTGAAATTCAATAGGCGTGTATACCTATAAATATCGTATAAAATTATTGTAGAACATAGTAGTTTTTACTGTACTGAATAGCATTGCAGTGAAATGAGAAATTGTACTATGTCACACAGCAAATTCTACTTTCGAATGTGAGATAAAAATATATCCTTTTAAAAAAAAGGATTATAATAAAATTTACTATGTTGTATACTAAAGATTATACCATCACAATTTTTACTATGTTAGACATAGTAAGTTTTATTATGCCATATAATATTTTTTTTAGGACTGCTACCTAACAATCATTATTTAAAATATAATAAAAATGACTTTAACCGTAAGAACTTACGTCATCAGGTTAGTCTATGTCTTAGCTTTCATAAAAAATATAATGCTTTTTAGTATAGCTATAATCCTTTTTTTAACACCACATTTCTCTTCGTATAAACGCTAGTTGCGTTTTCTATTTAATTTACCTGACAACTATTATATATTGGTCAATAGGCATTAAATTTACAAGAAATCATACACATGAGTCATACGGTCATTGTATTTATTTAACTAGTCGTATAAGAATTGTATCATGGAAGAGTGAGAACTAGTGAAAAATAATAAAAGAGCAGTACAAATATTTGTGAACAGTTTCAATAAATACAAAAATAGTAATAGAGGGTGGGACACAACTATAATATGAATAACAATTTGAATTATCACTCATTTTGTTTGTTGAAATGAATGAATTCAATGAATTTTTAGCATACTTTTATGATATTATAATAAGTTAAATTATTCACTTACATCTCGTATGTATCGACTGTCAGTACCTCCTGGAAATATTCCTATATCTAAATTGATATTTTGTTCATCACAACATTTTTTAAAAGCTATCCAGTACGGATTACTATTATCTAATTTAGTACTTGGAACAAATCTATTTTTTTCTTCAAAAGTGAAGTGAACATTTTTGCCAGCTTCTTGACACCATTTCTGTAACATGGACTCGAAATCATCATGATTTACTTCAGGATCCAAGCGAATATCAAAAACAGCTGTTATATTATTTGGAATAACATTTGTTTGAACACCACCCTAGAATACATGAGTATGATTTGTGATTTAAAAACTTATTGTTTCATGATAAACAGAACTGTATTCATTTTATTTATTTAAGAATTTCGGAGTACAGTTTCATTAATTTTTTTTGACAAACTTTTTTTGACACGAATGAGAATTTTCAGTAACTTTTTCATGGATTGTAGGTGTATGTATACATACATAAATTGTGTACATGGTGCATAGTGCAGAGAAAATTCATAGAGAAAATTCTGTTGACTCTAAGCAAATTGTGTACTATATTAAGGAGGCTTAAGGAGGCTTGGGCGATTTTGAATTAAATGCTGGCTAGGTCTGAAATTCAGAGATTATATAGATAAAGTTTGCTAGATTTTTTTAGGAAAACAAAATAGGTAGGTCAACATATTTATTTTCGAGAAAATCGCTTGAGAAAATTCGTCATTTTAACACGCAACCTTACGGAACCCGAAATTCAATAGACTACCGTACCGCAATAAAAAGCTGTGGGCCCACACATTAAATTGGTACATGCACTTGAAAGTATAAAGAATCTATTATTTAGAAAAAAGAATAGGATCAACACGTTAAATTTTGAGAAAATAGCGAGGAAAACATCGAACATGAGAATTGTTTTGTTCAGGTACTGTAAGTGCGCATGCGCTGTACATTTATAAACATGCAAGCATGAAAATTTAAGTCTAACACAAGTATAGGTATATAATAGCAGATGAGAGCAAGAGAGTACNTTATGAATACTATTAACGTTTATTATTTTTTTAAGTAATTTTTTTCTATCTCAGAAAGAGTATAAGAAATATCTAATAACCATCATAAAAACTCTATTTCTAGTGCTAAAAAAAAGTTGGTAAGTAATCACCTCAAATACGAGTAAGGAAGACTAATTTTTATATTTACTCATAAAAAAAATGTTCTAGTCCCATTTGGAGAGATACGGTTCTGTGTGAAAGTGTGTGAACGTTGATATTTATTTGTGTATGGAGTACATGTATTATATTTTGGATTGTTTTATATGTACACTTCCAGAAACACCATCTAACACATTTATTGGCTCCATGCTTCCATGCAAACATCGTGCTGCCCTTATTTCATACCCCTAACCCATGTTTAATCTTATGGAAGCAAATAGTACCCGTGACAGGCACCAGCGGCACTATACCCTAGTTTCCATAAAATTTCGTGTTAAAGTGACAGCCAGCGCCAGCCCTCCCCTCCAACTTTTTGCAGGGAGCCAACACGAGGTAATAAATAAATAAATAAAAACTGAAAAAATATAGTAGATTTGTTCGATTAATAGGTTCCAAGCGCTCGGAGCGATCGGAGGGCTCCGAACTCTAGCTCGGAAACGCGTTCTTGCTCCGAGCGCTCCAACTGCTCCACACATGCTTTTGGCCCAGGTGACCAAAAACATCCGTAGTAGTGCCCGGTTTACTTTTCATCTAGTATAAGTAAATTATCTACAGACAGAAGGTCAAGATAATTCATAGCTGGCTCTCTTACGGCTTTTTTGGGTTGCCTAATTATAATCACGTGTGGAGCAGTTGGAGCGCTCGGAGCGGTTGGAGCAAAAACGCGTGTTCGGACTAGGGTTCAGAGCACTCTGAGCGCTCCGAGCGCTCGGAACCTCTTAATCAAACAAATCTCGTGTTTATATTTTTATTTCTAATATTATTAATTTTCATTTTTCTTGACTCAGCCTGACTTCCCTTGCAACTAAATTTGACTGACCTTGCGTAACTTTGCATAAAGTTTCTAATTACTGCCTATATTGGCCAAATCTTAAATAACTCTGCCATTCCTTGCCTAACTCTGCCTAACCCTGCATAACTCTGTCTAACTCTACCGAACGCTGCCAAACTTTGCTAAAGGTCCGAATCGCTGGAATTAGGCTAAGTTCAGCAAGGTTTCACAGTAATACAGTTTTCACTCGGGAAGTAAGGTATTTACAGTCATCAGTCTGCTATCCTCGCTCATTGCCACTTTTATATACTGCTGATTCGAAGCGCCGAAGCTGACAGTTTTCAATGAGATTATTGTTTGTTGTACTCTATTTCAAAATATTTATCAATACAAAAATAAGCAGGTTAAAGCATATATTTTGAAAAATGTAACTGCATTTATTAAATAACTCTCAGAGCTTTCGTATTGCTATCTAGAAAAGGTATAGTTTCAAAAAAAGTAGCAGGGCGACGAAACTGTGTAGTACTCTAATTAAAATTTGAAATCTGTATAAAAGATCACAAGGGCTATAACCAACAAAAATTGAAATCCTAATATGCATAAGTAGGGGTAAATGTAGGAACTACCGACAGTGATGCAATAACTGCCGCTTTGATAAAGTGACGAATAGTAATTGTTAATAATTACATATTATGTCTTAAAAAATATTACAGTGAACATGTATTACTGCAGATAAAATTATCGCAGTTGCATATAAAAAGTTTCATCATAAATTGACTATAATAATTATTAATTGTATGCAAGCCTGTTGACATTTGAAAAGTGTAGTCCATCATATAAAATTAATGAGTTTCAAGTAACTTTTAACAAATACATTATCCGTAAATCACGCTCAAAATTTGTAGGCAAATAAAGTCATAGTTGTTGTTTTATAGTAATTCAACACAATATTAAATTTATTGATTACTTGCATTTTATTTCATTTAAATGATAGTATTGCATACAGTTTCAGTGCCTGTGATTATATTACTATACAATAACCATCAGCTTTCTTTAGCCTTGATCGTGAAACATAACCTATCATTATATTACGTGAACGTGACAAAATAGTTGTTAAGTTCATTTTTTTGCGTTATTTTTTCCTTCATATTCATAGTATAAGCATCTACTAGGAAAATGAAAGGAAAACAAATTCTAGTCTACTTAATTTTTTTTTAAATAAAATTTTTGTTACACATAGGTACGTATTACTGTAGAAAAACAAAAAAAAACTTATTCAGATCATGCTATTATCATGAAACGCTATTGGTGCTTGTATTATAATAAAACCTTTTTTTGAATATCCCAAAACATCATTCCCACTTTTACATTCAAAATCCAAAAATGAAAAAAAAAAAAATTCATACTCCTACTGAAAATACAGACATGAAAATAGTTACAATTTTGAGTTTAACTGAATCACAATTCAATTTTCCAAATAAAACTTTGTAAAATATAACACCTAAACAACTCAAGACAATCTATAGATTCAGTTTCTGAATACTTACAGGGCCTAATAACAATATCTTTTACTTGAGTAGCAAAAGACAGAACAAAAAAAAAGCTTTTATCTGTTATATATATCTGGTCCATTGTGGCAACAAGCAGTTGAAAAAAAACCGACACAGAAATGTTTCAAGGAGGAGATTGTTTTGTCAAAAAAAAAGATTAAAGTTGAAAATCAGGAATTCAAGAAAAAAGAGCAAGAAGAAAGAAAAAAAAAGAAGGCAGGAAGTATTTGAAAAAGTTAAATTAGGATTGAAAAAGAAAAAAGTAAATTAGTAAAGCAACAACAACTAGTCATGCAATTTGAGGCAGAACATAAGATAACAAAAAGTAATGTATTAAAATCCAAAAAAAAAGATTGTTTGACCAAACAAATCAGTAATTTTCAGAAGCAATTACACTGTTACAAATTTATAATTATTAATTTTTGAACGTGAAAGTTAAATTTTTTGAAAAAAAGTCTAGTTATAAGCATTAATGAGTTTAAGGTCTTTATAAAATATTATTTTATAATTATTGACTATTTAATNTCTGCAAACAAATAAATTTAATTTTTGTTCGCCAGGAACCAGCCGTCATCCCAAAGGCCTTATTTGCTCTTACTCACTTTCAATCGTAGACTCAGCGTTATGGTGTTACGTTTTACCAAGCGACATGTATGGAGTAGTGTTAATGTGTCGTTCGCCGATCTGGCGTTGATTTACTGTTTGAATTTATATATTATGTAATGCAGTAGTAGCGTACCTTGTTCGTCTTTTTATCTCACGTCCTTATAAAAGTCTTTGTCATACGTTATCTATTTAAAATTTCCTTGGTATTCAATTTATTAATTGAAGTAAGAATTATGTTGCTGTCAATCAGAATTTTGAATCTTAGAAAATTTCATATAATTTAGTTATTGAAAAATTTTATTTAAGAAAATAATTCAATCAATAACCTAGTTATGTCTTATCTGATGATTTAATAAATTTAGTAAAGCCGGAGATAGTTGATTTTACAAATAATATGAGTTATAAAGTTTCTGATTCGCATTTACAATTATTTTACAATTTATTGCTTTTTTTAGCTTAACATACTTCTATGATCGTTGGTTATTTGCCACCTGCGCGCACGCAGTCCCAAGATCTTACAAGTTTGACCGCAACGATGATCTTAATCCTACACGAGAGGAGTTGTGGCGATAACAATAATAAGACTGCTGCTTTTAACGTCGGAATCCAAGTCAACGGTCCTTTTTTTCTTGTTCCTCTTTGATTCACTTTTTAGGTAAGGCTACTGTGGCCTGGTTTGCTAGAGCTTTTCTTACACAGCTTAGTTACCGAACTAAGTCTTACATTTGCTTGAAATGCACGCTTCTAATATGCAGCTTTGTCACCGAACTAAGCTTTATATTCGCTTGAAAGACACAACAGAACTCACTCTCCAACCTTTACAGTTAATTTAGAGCACTTGATGGAAGAGAAAAGGCAAATATTGTTATGTGCAAAGAGTTCTTATACTCTTGCATTTAAGAAGGACACGTAAGGTTGGGGATCTGAATGACCAGCCAGAGCTTAACCTAATTACTTTCGATTGACACGAGCACAGTCGTGGTGCAATAATTTCACACTAATTGATGGTTAAAACCACTGATCTCTCGTGTAACAGGTGTACCTCTTGATTATATTCACCTCATATACTGTGGTGTAGTTGTAAAATTAATAGAGTTGTAGTTGTCTGGTCCACTTAGTGTTAAAATTTCTAATCAACAAGGTATAACTATCTCTGAGAGA